ATTTCTTCAGCATTTCCTGGTTGTAGCTGCCATAATAGTTGCTGGCATAAATCCTCAGCATTGATCTATTCCTCCTCGATATTTTTAGCAGATACCAAGAATTTTATTAACTCAAAGGTATTTTCTAAAGTGAAATATTATTTCTAAGAAGCTAAGTCAGTTCACAAGGAAAACCAACCTATACTGGTAGAGCATTTTAAACAAACGGACTCCAAGACTGACTGAGCTTAAAAGGAGTTTCAGAGTAGATCCATGCAATGCCTTTATTTACCATTTAAGAAAACCACAGAGAGATGGAGAGACTGATCAAACGGGCACAGTTATCATCCAGCAAAATTCCCAGATGGCTACAGCAGCTCCTCATAGCGCTCCATGCTGATGAGCTCATGCTGCATGTTGGACAGACAACACAAGGCAGAGAAGAGCTAAGGATAAAGTCACTGGAAACACAAATGTTTAATGTCATTCGATCACAGACCTACAATAACAAATACTAATTGCAAAATATGGAACGAAGCCCCATTTAGTAAATTTTACCATCCGAACTCCCCAATTAATTCTCTTTGTGACATTAGGCAAGTTACTTAACTAAAGTCTACTTCCTCATGATTTAAAAGAAGGTGCTAATACCTGCTTTAAAGCCTTGTTCTGAACAATATCTCTTCCGTGGTGTTCTTTTTTAAAAAACGATGTTTTCATTGATTTTTTTTTTTAGAGAGAGAGAGGAAGGGAGAGGAAGACAGAAACATCGATGAGAAAGAGAACCACTGGTTGCCTCCCACATGCCTGTTAGCAGGAGTTGAGCCCACAGCCGGAAATCAAACCAGTAACCTCTCCGAGCATGGGACGATGCTCAACCAACTGAGCCACACTGGCCAGGGATTCTGTGGTATTCTTGCCAAAATCCATAACCCAGTCTAATATCAAACACAAATTGAGAGACGTTCTACAAAATAATCAACCAATTCTCTTGAAAAGTGCCACGGTCATGAAAGACTTCAGAAGTGCCATAGATTGAAGGAGACATGACAACTAAATGCAATATGTACAGGATCCTGGATTTGATCCTGGACCAGGAAGAGGCTAATGGAAAAACTGCTAGTATTGCACCAAGTTAATTTCCTGGCTTTGATCACTGGATTGTGATTATGTAAGAGGAACCTTGGTGAGGGGTATATAGGAATACTCTGTACAAATTTTCCAACTTTGTAAATCTAAAATTATTTTAAAATAATTTTACTTAAACAGGGCAATTTTTAAAAAGCCTTATTGTAAGAAAGAAATACAAGATCAAAAAACCTAATACATTGTCTATTGTTTTTGCAGGCATAATTCCTTCATCTAATGGCTACACTTGGTGGCCATTAGCTGTAGGAACAGTATATTAATACATTATGGGCCAAACCCAGGTTGGGACAGTTAATAGCAAAGTGTGTTGTTCAAGTGTGATAAAATGAGGCCATTCTATATTTCAACTGAGTAATTATAAATATGCACGCAAAACTCCAGTAACTATCAATATTGCATTCTTTGCGCAATAAAATCCTACGTCAGTGTTTGAGAAAGTACGGAGTCTGTGTTTGACTAACGATGACAGGCTTTTATTTACCTAATGCCAGCAGCATTTAAACGTAACATGTCAGACCTCCATTCTGACTCTGGGACTACTCCCATCCTGTCAGACTTCAACAGTTTTCTGTCAGGCAACACCTGGCAAAATAAACCGCTTTCATATAAGTTGTAGGCATCTCAAAATGACTATTGCTTGATACTCTGTTCTTTCTGTTTCCCCCCTCCTTTTTATTTTAAACTTGACTCTACATCTAGCCTTGAGGCGCAAAAGCCTGCCTCTGAGATAATTAAAGGTCCCCAATGGCAAGTTTATTACCCAAGATGTTGCTTTTTTAAGAAAACAAAACTACCGAGGAATCACAATCCTTTATCAGTCATGGTTTCTAACAAAGGAGCTATCGCTCCACCACTTTTGCTTCTCACCTCAGGGAGTAACTGTGCAGCCAAAACTATTAATAAGCAAATGAGCTGTTTCTTCGTTTTAGATAGGATCATCCATATGATAAATATACATTTCTTTCTATTATACTACTCTCTTGCAAAATAATTTTTGTTTTCTACAAAGGTTATGAGATATCATAAAAATGTCTAATGCATCTGGTTTAAGAATCCAATTCTTCCTTCACATATTTCTGCATCTGTTCACAAAATCTCTTTGACTTCAAAGGAAGCTTTTCAAGAGAAAAAGAAGATACACACAGGAAAAGTGGCCATAAATTTTTAGTAGTCCTTTTCTAAGGCCATTTTAATAACAGCACTGTGGGACAAGTATCTCTCTGAGACCTAAAATATCACAGATGATATTAATGACTATGCATTTATACGGAGATTTACACTTTAAAATCTTATTCTGGGTCTAAAAGTGATATATCTTCAATTTAGAACATATGAAAAATATGAAAAGCTTAAAGAAGAAAACTTAAATCACTTTTTTTTTGTTTTGTTCATCCTCATCCGAGGATATTTTTTCCATTGATTTTTAGAGAGTTGGAGTGAGGGAGAATAGGAAGGAGGAAGGGACACATCCATTGGTTGCCTCCTACTCTCACCTCGACCTGGGCCAGAGATCGAATGTGCAACCCAGGTATGTGTCCTTGACTGGGAATTGAACTGAAGAAACTTCAGTTTACGGGCCAACATTCTAACCACTGAGCAATACCAGCCAGGGCTTAAATCATTTTTAATCCACTACTTAGGAAAACCTAGCAAAACAAAAAAAGAATGGTTGTTTCCTTCAAGTCTTTCTTTTTTCTTCTGTGCACATATTTATATAAATATTTATTTACAAACATAAAATTATAATTACACTATTAATGCAATTTTGTATCTTTTTTCAATTGGTCTTTTTCAAAGTCCTTCAAACCATCATTCTTAATGACTGAAAATTATATGTAGATTTATAATATTAAAAGATGCTCTCACACTTAATTCTTATTCTAATCAAAGCTAAATCAAAGGTTTGGAAACACTATTCTGTTCTGGGAATTCTACATCTTGAAACAATCTAGATTAACAGTTGATTAACTTCAAGATAATCGATTTGGTAAACGCCACTGAAACAATAGATGCTTAAGGAATTTTTTCTTTAGCATTTATAATGATTTAGTCCCCTTAATTTCCCTGGGCAATTGTTAGTGGGCTGTAGTTTCTTTTTCTTTTTCTCTTTGAGTCTCTATCTCTGTGACATCCTTAGCTTTTGTTTGGAATGAGAGGAAGTAGGGGTCTAAGGCTTAGTTACTTTGATGCCATAGCTTTTAACAGGCTACGATTAACTATAAACATAGTAATCAACCAATTCTGGTTCTACAGAATCAGGCCCTAGAGTTCCCAAGAGGGGAGTATTGGATTTATCTAATTTTTAATCAATCCTTCCCTAACATTGCTGCCTGAAATTTAAAATAACATTTAAATAGCTGTTTGGTTGATGATGAGCTTTCTGATATAATATCCTTCATCCTCACAAGAATCTTATTAGGCTCCTATCCATGAAGAAAACTTAAGTGCCGAAAATTACGAGATTTATGGGTGATTAGAAAAACAAGTTGAACTTAAATCTTGGTTTTCATAATTAATCTCATTGCTGTACTTTGGATTCATAATCATGAAGCCATAGATTTCCCAAAGCTTGAAAGAACAGAAATGTGGCAATCGGTCCAAGCCTCCCTCCACCCATTTTCCTAAAGAGAATAAACCCTGCGAGATTCCTGGTGACTTGTCATGTCACCCCACTAGCAAGTGGCTGACACCCCCCTTGACCTCTGGTTTCCTAGCTTCCCGTGCAGTGCTCTTTCCAAACACCGCTGACCCCGCACAGCCTCTCCCCTGCGCAGCAGCACAGCCAATGCGCCAGGAAATCGCCCCGGCACCCCAGAACGTGAAGTTTCTTCCGAGTTCCCACGAGAGAGCTCCCAAGAGATGTATGGCATGAGCCTACCAGTGAGATGAGACTGGGAAGACGTTTAGTAAATGTCTGAGTGAATGAAACACACACACACACACACACACACACACACACACACACTATTATTATTTTTTCTTTTGCCATGAGGGTAAAATTCCCAATACTGACGGACAGGCTGAAGGCCGTGTCCTGCTCTCCACGACAGAGTAATGAATGGCCACAGCAGTGCTGCCTGGCCCAGGACAGGACCACGCACTTGGGCAAATCTCCTTCGGGGTGAAGGAGAGGAAACACCGGGAAACGCACCGACATTCGCTCCAGCGCCGCGCAGCGCCGCGCCAACGGAAACCTCCCATCACTAACCAGACTTCCCTAATTTCTCCTGGGCCCCAGGCTGGCGGTTAGGAAAGGACCGTAAGACCGCCAAGATACCGGAAGGTGGGCCGTCCCAGTGCGCGGGCGGCGGTACGCCCCTCCCACCCGGGGCGCGTGATGTCATCACGCATCCCTGCAACGTCACCACGCTCCAGGTAGAAGGGCAGTCTTGAGAGAGACAACTTTAGAAGAGAAGCGACCGGGTACTCTCCAGAGGAAACGGGGGTGGAGGTGGGGGGAGAGAGAAGCAAAAGGAGGGAAGGAAGGAGGGGAGGAGAGAAGAACGTAGGAGGATGGAAAACGAGCAGAAGGGCCAGCTTTGGTTACCTGGGGAGCAGGAGCAGCTTCGGGTGCTTTATGAAGTGCCCGGATGAAGCCCCAGCACCCACGCGTCTTCCGCATTGAGCGCAGCGCCATCTTGAGGAGGGCGGAGCTTTCTTGTCTTGAGTGACATCTGCTCGGAGAGCCAGTGGCTGTTCGCTGCTCTCCTGCTTGCTGCGCCTGCGCTCTTGCCTTCGGGGGCGGGTCGCTGGGCCCCTGCGGTGGACAGTCCGGTTTTTGCAGAGCAGGTGGGGACGGGGACAGGGACGGGGCGGGGCTGAGCTTCAGTGTTTCCCTAGGAGACCTCATCTTTGCACTGGCTTCCTGGAGGGAGAGGCTCCGGAAGGAAGGCTAGGAAGTTGCTTTGGGGACCCTAGCCCCCCAGAGGCAGCTTTAAAGAAGTTTGTGTGGGAATGGGGCCTCGCAGTCCTGTTAGCAGCGAGTCCTCTGTTGAGACCTGTGTAGCCTCATTCCACCCGGGCTGCAGACACAGCACTGAAGGGACCAAGAGAGACACGCATCTTTCTTTGGAGAAGTGTATGGCCTATGGGGAGTAGACACATACACGATGCAGTGTCTGGGCTGTCACAGAAGCCCACACCAAGATCGGGGAGGAGGGGTGATTCGGGCGGGACTGAGACCCGTCCAAGGAAGGCCTCCGGAGAAGGTGAGACCTGGTAGAAGCATTTTCCTGTTTTCAGTTCAATTATGAGGAGAGTTAGCGCAGTGCTCCTGCTTCTGCTAATGCACCCACCGCTCCCAGACATAGAAGACCGATATCAGTAAAAATAGAACGCAGAGATTTCGTCAGAATTCCTTTCTGTTTTTGTTGTATGTATCCATTGAACAAACACTAAAAATGACCACATTTCCAGAGGGAGAAGTAGGAGATAAATGGAATAAGGCTGCCCATACTCTTAAAGGAACTGGAATCTAACAGGTTAAATCAACATTTATAAATTAAAGCCATACATTAAAATCTCATACGAGTGGTACAAAGCACTGGTGAAGTTCAAGCATAATTGGTGTAATATAAGCGGGGAAGGAATGGTAGGGATGACGAGGGGGAGGGGGGAGCATCGAAGAAAATTAAGTCTCGTTCTTCCACAAAACTGGCTTTGTCTGTCAAATTTGAGGTGCTTACAGTCCTCCCAAATGTGACGCCCATTAGATAGATAGGTCTGTCTGGATCTCAGAAGAGAGGTCTGAACTAGGCGTCAGATGGTCATTGAAACCAAGGAAGTCTGAGAAACCAGGTAGCGTTTGTGGAATAAAAGTCAGAGTAACCAAAAGATACTTTGAAAACCCCCAAATGTAGTAATACTGAAACCCAGGAAAGAGATATGGCCAGTGGAAGTGATGATCTTTAAAACGATATACAGTATCCCTTGTGTATATGCAGTTTTATAAAACGCCTAAATGTTTTGTACTCATACCCAGCAAAGAATTAAAATACAGGGTGTTGTGTATTTTTTTTAGCAGATGTTATTAATTAGTTTCAGTGACCTTAGGAATTAGTAAGATTAGATTTATGACATCTACACCATCTGGATTGTAAAATAAAGCCTAAAAATAAGATGAGGGTTACAGCAGATAGCTGACAAAGGGCCTGCCTACTCTATTTCCTCATGCAGCAATTTTCGTCTTTTATCTGCTAAGACTCACATGACTGATATTTCCATGTGAGACATACTCCCATTGAAGAAGGTATATCAGAGCACACGTGTAATCATTTCAATACCTGTATTTTTTTTAGGTACATTATTTTCACACTTAGAAATAGTAAGTTGTTTCCCACCATAGTGGTGACCTGATGACTTGAGTGTCCCTCCGCCAGCAAGGTTGCTCCTGGGACAGGACTATATTTTGTATTTTTTTACATTTCCCCCAGCATGTGGTAGAGTGCCTTACATACAGTAGGCTTATCTTTTAAATCTAAATTTTATTTTGACAAAGTACATGATTAATTTTCAGAGGTTGATAGACTTTTAACATGCCAGAAGCGACAGCTGACAGCAGGAAAGACACTAGATCCATTAAAAGCAAGCTGGTTTTGTCTGCTTTTGTCGTTTTTTACAGCAGCATTCTGAAACCTTTTGGTGTTGGGGAAAGTATCACCAAAAAGCTCACCATCAAATAAGCTCACCATCTTGTTCTCTTCCAAGAAGTACAGTATATTCAGCATATTTTAATAAGGATTTTAAATGCTAATCTAGAACCTTCAGGAAAAGATAATGTTATTGGGTGCATCTTTTAAAGAAAAAATATATAATACACTTTTGAAATGTTTCCATACAAAACGGTTAACATTTTTAAAGTTTATATAATGCAGAGTTAGTTTGGTTACATGGGAAGTTCACTTATGGAATATCTCATTGTGCAAGAGTGTTGTTTAAATGAAGCACCATTGTATTTATTGCAATATTTTACCATTGCTATCATTTGGTAAGCCAAAGAATTTTCGTCAAATGAGATACAAATGTTGTATTGGAAGCAGGCTTTAGATAGACTCACAATTAAAAACTCTTAATAGTCATACACGTATGCACTGCATGGCTATATAATAGACTCATGCTTACAATTTTGAACACTTGTTTAAAATTTGATTTCTCATCAACACTTTTATTTTATAGTAAGTTCTGGTAATTTTGCCCTTTTCTTCACATTCCCTGCAAATCCTGTCCTGCTTGAAACAATAGATTAAAACCAGACTGGCAGTTGGGGAACACTTTCTATTGCAACCATGTGTGTCAGAAGAAAGGATTAGGTTTCCTTGTCCAAGAACATCAAGGGGAACCTCCACCTCTGCAGACACACCTCTGTTCCTCAGTAATGGAGAGTTTATATCTAGTTAGATTTAAATGGGATAAGGAAAGAGTTTAAATCCACTCCCAGCTCCAATAGTATAATCAGCCCTCAAGACTCAAAGTATCCAATTTTGTTTCTCTAATTTAATTCTAAGTGTCAGGTTGGTATTAGATGCTGATCAAGGTAATGGAGAGTTATCCTACACATTTATTCACTTAAAGAAGAATTTTGCAGAATGCAGAGACTAGATGGCATCAGTGTTCAAAACTTACTTAAGGCACAGTCCATTCCCCTCTGACCCTTAACTTACATTGAATATGTTTTTAAAATAGTGGAATAGATTCCACAGTGAAAGTAAACCCTTCTTTTCATAATTTTGGGTACAACTATCATTCCCTGGTCTTACTGTCTTATACTTGATTCATTATAAGGACTTAAAGTGAGGCAGAGTCTGCCCTTGAGTGAGATAACTTCCAAGAGTCATTAAACTACTGGTGTACGAGAAACCATGATCATGATTTGGAGATTTGTTCTTTCTCGCATTTGTCTTAATTCTAATTCCACCCCTTATTTTATAGCTGACAAGGCTGGTCCAAAGATACCAAGTATCTTGACAAAAAATCACCCAAGAAATTAGAGCAGGAATAGGAAGAACTTTAATTTCCAGACAAGTGTCCTGCTTTTTTTTTTTAAATACATTTTTATTGATTTCACAGAGGAAGGAAGAGAGAGAAATAAAAACATCAATGATGAGAGAGAATCATTGATTGACTGCCTTCTGTACTCCCCACACTGGGGATCGAGCTGCAACCTGGGCATGTGCCCTGACCAGGAATTGAATCGTGACCTCTGGTTCATAGGTCGGCGCTCAACCACTGAGTCACACCAGCCATGCCAGATGAGCACCCTACTTTCAGTGACAGCTCTGTGAAGCTGAGTAGTTACAGCTAGAGCTGGTCCAGGGGAAAGGCTTAACAGAAACACACATCCTTGTGCCATGCTTCACCCCCAGAGCAACGAAATGGCTAATTACTAGAAATGGCTAATTACTAAAGGGCTGATGCTCTCGTCTCTCCACCCCCAACATTGAAAGATGCTTTTTCCCTGGTTGTTGTGGAGGAAGTGCAAATTATAGCCCTTTCTCTGAGGATAATCATCAGAGGCTGATTTGGTCTTTGGGAAAGCTACTTAGGGGTTTTAAGGGAGGCATTACAGTACTATGACTTTTTTTTTTCCTGGAAGGTGTCAGCTAGCAAAATTAAGGGAGAAACTGGGTGTTATGGATAGCAAACTAGAAATTTTCTCAGAATACCTTTTTCTTAAAATCAAGGGCCAAGGCCATAGTTTTTTCCAGATTTAACTTCTTACCTTAGGGACTCTGTCTTACTCTGCAATGATGGTCATTTTGACGGGTTGGGAGGTGGTGGGGAGGGTGGGGAGCGTCAGAGCAGACCTAGGTGGATAACTTGCCTATGTTGATCTTCAGAGAACTGACTCCATTCCTTCTAGAGTCCGTAGGGTGCAGAACCACGAGGAGGATGGATTACATGGGACGTTCCAGGCCCTGGAATCCCTGTTCACATTGAATGTTTTCTCTCGATACTTGTTGTCAGGTTGTCAGAGTACAAGTCTTCCAAGAAGATGGAGAGTTGCTCCCTTAATAAAGTGTGGATCTGGGATGGAAAGAATACTTTTGGAGAAAGGTAAGAGACTAATTTCAATATCCCCTAGGCCCACTGTTCACCCTCAGTGTTAAGACATGTGTTCCATGGAGGAAGTGGAGCTTGGAAATTAGCAAATGAATGTTTAGAAAGAGCATTTTACTGTGTTGTCTCGGCATGCCATAGCTTTCCAGATGGTGTGACCCTAAAGACAGGATCTGTGTGTTATCTTTACACTCACTCTATATTTAAATCGCCATCCTTTGTTCACAGCCACTTCCCAACTGGGATGAACAGGCTTCCCACTTCGGAGGTTTTTTATAAAAAGAAATATAGCAAGGTGTCCCCAGAGCTTCCGGCAGTGTCTTTTAGCTCAGCTCTTTTCTGTTTCGTCTATGTAATCAAGCTACGTTTAGTCCCTTCCCACACACTATCTGTCAGGTGTAATGCTGGGATCCTAGCCATGACCTACTGCTTAGATCTTGATCTTGCTAAAAAAATAAATAAATAAAAAATAAATAAATCAGAAGATATCTTGATCTCTCTGAAAACAGGGAGGGTGTTAAGCTCACTGTCTCAGTCAAATCCCATCTCCACCAGTTAGATTCCCTTGGACTTTCTAAAACCCACTGACTGTTGTAATCAGCTATGTTTTTCTTTACTTTTTGTCTTCAATAAGTAGAACTGAGCATGGACTCAGAGAAAATTTGTTTGCTGGACCAGCAATTTTCAACTGGTGTGCTGCTAGAGGCACACTGGTGTGCCACAAGAATTTTTAAAACATGCAATACCTGACTAGTCAGGGGCACTGACCTCTCTTCCCTTAGATTGTCAAATAAAATAAAATAAAAAATCCATCTGCTGTGAATGAATCAAAATTGTACCTACTTTTTTTTTTTTTTGCCAGGCTGGCAAAAAAATATAATATGTTTTTTGGTGTGCTGCAGAATTTACTAATAAGTTTATGTGTGCCATGAGATGAAAAAGGTTGAAAAATCACTGTGCTAGACCCATTACTGATCTCTGTGAATCATTTGACCTGTATGTACTTTTTGTGAAAAGAGTAAAAAATAGGAGGGCTAGATGACATACATTGTAACTCTTGTGGTTCTAGGAACTAGTTTCCGTTTGGTTCCAAATTAGATTCACTTAGAGATGCAAAGATAGATATTACAGTCAGAATCCATATTGCAAAGCATGTCGCCTGAACTCTTCTCCATGTCAGGTGTGTGTGTGTGTGTGTGTGTGTTACATGCAGTTGAGTCAGTTCCGACCCCTGGTGACCTGAATGAGTGATGTCCACAATGTCCTGTAGACTCATGCCTGTGGCTTCTTTTATGGAGTCAGTCCACCTCGTATTTAGTCTTCCTCTTTTCCTGCTGCTTTCTGTTGTCCCCAGTATTACTGTCTTTCCCAGAGAACCCTGCTTTCTCATGACGTGCCCAAAGTAAGACAGCTTCAGTTTTTCCATGGCAGATACCGAGATACAAATACTGAGAATGGGTCACAACATGTTCTCAAGACTGTGCACCACGCAGCTGCTCTCAACCAAGTAAAATTGCCCCTCCATGTCATCTTGTCATGGCAGCATTAGGTGTATGAAAGACAGAGAATATGAAACTTCTCTCACCCAACTGTGAACATGAAGTGGCTTTCCACAGATCTCTTTTCAGAGGGTAAGTAGGAAGAGCGTTTTGACCTATTTTCATTCTCTCTGGCTACTTTAGGTAGCAGTTCCTTCGTTCCAACTGTGTTGCTTTCTGTTGTTTCTCAGAAACGTACTTGTTATTGTGTAATTGGCAATCACAGTGATTTGTATGACAGCTGCTAATCCATGGGAGTTCCAGGAGAGGGTTATCCAATAGGTTCTGGGGTCTTTAGGAGAGGAATATAGCCACTGTCCCCCCACAACTTGGCAGGTGTGGGGAATGAGGTGTGTCTTGGGGGTGGGGGGGGCAACAGCCCTGCTTCTCTCTTGCCACCCTCTGATCTTCTGATCTTTTGATTTCTCCATTCACTGAACCTCAGGGCAAAGGAACTTGTTTATCGGAACCATAAAGGTCAGTCCTTCCCTCTCGCCCCCCACCATTCCCCCACTGTTCCCCAGAAAACAGGATGCAAAAATGGTAGACAGTGGATCTGGAAGGCCAGATGGAAATATTTAGTACAGAACTAGAAATATAACTGTGAAAAAAGTGATAAAAATCTGAGTAGTCTTAGGATAACTTTCTAACCAGGCATTAAACTTGAAGGCAAGACCACATTTTCAACTCTGACCAAAAGAGTACTTGACATCAGAGGAAAGCTCGATAAATATTGGCAGGTTGATTAAATGAACAGATGAACACATGTGAGGGGAAAGAGGGAGGTGTGTGGTGAGATATTTTAAAGATAGACAGTGCAGGGAATTGGGGGGAAAAATTTAAAGCCTAAAATAATCCCTGGAAACATTTTCTAAATCTCTGATATATGCTTGCTTTCTTGTGGTTTGCTCTTTCCACTAAAAAGCAGAATGCATAAAATATTCTGATTAGTCGAGGGTTATTACTTAGGTTCCAACTAATGTTTTATATATAAATCTAAATTACTGCTTTTCCTTCATTCTGCTTCTCTTTCTGTTTTGTCAAATCCCTGTGGGAGGGAGCAGCATTCCTGTGGTGGGTAAAATAATTTCTATGGAAATTATTCAAAACACAATTTTGTAAACACTATGTGAAGATATGATTTATTTCTGGATTCAGCCCTTTCTCTTGCATCATCTCCCTGTTTATCATCAAGTTTTCTGTTTGCCAGCATCTCTCTTTAAGGATTTGTTCAGCCCTGACCGGATGGTTCAGTTGATTAGAGCATCATCCCATGCACCAAAGGGTTGCAGGTTCTATTCCCGGTCAGGGCACATACCTAGGTTGTGGGTTTGATCCCAGGTGGGGGCACATATGGGAGGCACCTGATCAATGTTCCTCACCTCTCTCTCTCTCTCTCTCTCTCTCTCTCTCTCTGTCTCTGTCTCTCTCTTCCACTCTCCAAAAATCAATAAATACATATCCTCATGTGAGGATTCAATCATTAAAAAATAAAAACATCCATACCAGTTTTGCATCTAAGAGGATCAGCTTCCATTAGGAGGGTTGAGACAATGGGAAGCAAGCAGAGGAGAAGAGACTGCGTTCCAGGAGGGAGCAGGTTACTGAAAAGAACAGGACTCAATTCCCAATCCCAACTCTGCCATAATTAGCACGGTGACACTGGGAAGTTTTTAACTTCTCAGCCTGCTTTTTACCTAAAAAAATGGGAGGGGTTGAACCAACTGATTATCAAGGTTCCAGCCCTGAATTCTGTAAGTGTATGCTCCTGCAGGTGTCCCATTTTTAACCCAAGGATCTTCCAGTACTTTGGACGTAACACCTACAAGGCTGACAGGTGAAACATCCTCCCCTTGTGACAGATGGTCCTGCTGGGACCTCAGTGATTCTTTACTTGTAACATTGTCAATCTGTGGAAGACTCAGACTGTGTCTCGCTAACCTAGTATTGGAGAAATTGAACCTGAACTGTGACTGACTTGAAGAGAGCAGTTAGTGAGAAAGTCATTAGATAATAAGACAAAGGTAGATTAATGAGTTTTCTAGTGTTATCGTATGCTTTATAGGGGGTGTTTGGGAGCTAGTGCCAGAGGAGAGAGCCTAGAGGCAGAGTAAGAACTGTAGGAGATGGGAGAACCATGTAAAGGTTGTTAGGCAAAGGTGCCAATACTTTTTTATTCATTCATACAATTCACTCATGTAAAATATTTAATGCATGCTTACTGCATAAAACTAAAGACTAGAAGGTAATCTTGTGTCACTACAGGTACCACGTATACTTCTTTTTATATGTCAGCATATGTCTCACCTTCTTTTCTTGGCTCTAGTTGCCTAGTTCCCACTCTGAAACCTCAGAGACAAATGGAATTGGAAAGCCAGCATTCTTCTCTCCCTCCCTCCTCCTTCCCTCCCTCCCTCCCTCCCTTCTCCTTCTCTTCCTTCCTTCCTCACTACCATCCTTCTTCCTCCCTTCCCACACCTACTATTAACCTGGACAGCTAAGGTACTGAGGATCCAGAGGATAAAGACATGGATTTCACCATGCAGAAGCTGAGTATAGCGAGGAAGATTTTTTGTAAAGTTGTTAAAATATAACAGGATAACTGTCATTCTAGAGCACAGACATGGTACTGTAAAGTCCCCCAAGTTTTAAAATATTGGCAACTAGATAACAGTATGAGTCCACAAGTTCACAGACAGAACAAGCATGCACATTTCAGGGCCTCTCTCCCAGTCACAGGCACAGCTCCCACACCAGCCCTGGCTACACTTATCAGTTATATTGTCACTGCTAGTTTCACCTCAGTAAGAACAAGGCCCACAGCCTATAGCACAGAAGGTCAGAGGAAATGGGACTGGGGTTTCTTTTCAAATAAAAACATCCCTTTAGAACTTATTTTATCTCGGTTATCCTTGGCAACCAAGGAGGGAAGGAAAAGAAGGGGTTCTCTTGCTCTGATGGCTACTGTGTTAGGAAGATCCCACTCCAATCCTGGTGCCACATTTTGTTGTTGTTGTTGTTGTTGTTGTTGTTGTTGTTAAAAAATAAGGTATCACCCTAGCAGGTTTGGCTCAGTGGATAGAGTGTCGGCCCGTCGACCGAAGGGTACCAGGTTTGATTCCATTCAAGGACATGTACCTTGGTTACAGGCTCAATCCCTGGCCCTGGTTGGGGCATGTGCAGGAGGCAACCATTCAATATGTCTCTCTCATATCCACGTTTCTCTCTTTCTGTCTCTCCCCCTCCCTCCCACAATCTCCTAAAATCAATGGGAAAATATCCTCAGGTGAGGATTAACAACAACAAAAAAGTAAGGTATCATTTCCTAGAACACTCAATTTTGCTCTCATAGAGTCTTAGACCTTTCCATTGTCTGACATTTAACACCAGGAAGTGGTGGGGTGGGGTGGGGTGGGGAGATGTGATGTTACCAACACATAAACACAGACTCTCCAGGGC